TTTATTATTTTTAAAATAATTAAATAAACTTCAATAAATAGATATAAGTATTCTAATTATGATAAAAACTAGAGTCCAAAATAACATAAACTTTAGCCACATGCACAATTAGTTATCTTTTAAAAAATAAAAAAATAAAAAAGAGTTATATTGACTATGGTAACTATCTTTAAAAATATTATGTTTAATAGTATATGTAGTTTTTTTTTTTTTTAAAAAAACGTTTTTAAATTTAACTGATTTGTAATTTGTAATTTAATTTTTTTAGTTTTTAATTTTTGTTAATTAAATAATTGAGAAATTTTGTGGTGCTGACATGTGTTACTTTTTACTTTTCCTATTATATATAAATATATAAATAGAAGATTATTAAAGATGAATTTTTCATAAATAATGAAGGTCTGATTATTATTATTAAATCACACGTCAGGACTCCTATTAACAATTAAGCATCATAAATATTTGATACTCCATAAAATACGCATGCCAATTAAATTTAAACCTTGCAAAAATATTTTTAAAATAATTAAAACGTAATTATAGAAGATTAAAAAAATAAATTTTATGCATATCAGAAGGATATATTATATGACTTAAACATCACTAATGACTACACTTTTATTTTTGCATCAACTATAAAATCCAAAATAATAGATGATGACTTAAAATATTGTTATACATAAGCGAAAAAAATACACAAATCATCTAAAGAACAGAACAAAATTTGAAGGAAAACACCTGAAAATAAGACTGACAGCGGAATGAATGTTTGCACATCAATGTATAGTAATTTCGGTAGGCTTTTGGAGAAGAAGTGGGTGGGGTTGGTTTATAAAAAGTGGGATAGTTTATTTATAGGATAATTGTAATGCAGTTGAGAAGTTAATAACCCGTTGATAAGAAGTTGTCATCAATTTGAAATTCAAAAATCATTAATTAGATAAGGATTAGGATCAATTCAAATTAAAAAAATAAATTTTAAAATATGTTTTCGAATTTTTTTGAGGAATTTTATATTGAAAATTGATACTGGAAAAAGATTTTTATATGTGACTGTCATTTGAAACATTTCTGAAACAATATTAATATTGTTATTATTATTATTATTTAAGTTTGTAATTTTTATTATTATTTTTAGATTTTATAATTATTTTAAATTTGAATTTATTCCTTTAAATTATCCACTAATTGAATTGTTCCTTAAAATTATCCACTGACTAACATGGAACAGTTCTTTTTTTAAAAAAAAAAATTTAAAATTAATAATCACACTCATGTTTTGCAATGTTTATTTTTTGTTTTTCAGTTTTAGATAGTTAAATATTTTAGTTATTATCTTATATAAATTTTGAAAATTATAAAATAATTATATCACGTTGATTTTAAGTAATTCTTTAATAAATAAATTTAATATTTTAATTTTGAATTTAAGATAATTACAAATAGTTGATTTATTTAGGGGTGTGAAAAATCAAACCGACCGATAAATCGAACCAATAAAAGTGTTATTGGTTTAATGTTATTGGGGTATTGGGTTAACGGGTTTTTAATGGTTTCATAAAAAAAATTATTGGGTTATCGATTTGGTATTGATTTTTAATATTGGGTTATTGGGTAAACCGATTACCCATTAAGACTAGTAATTTACTATTTTTACTTGTACATAAATATTACTCCCTCCGTCCCATTTTATGTGACACCATTTCCTTTTTGGTCAGTCCCAAAAGGAATGTCACATTTCCTTATATGATAAGTATTTAAAGGTACAATTCCTCTTTTACCCTTGTTGATCCCACTTAATCTTAAAATAATACTCCAATACATTTATGAGGAGAGAGAAAAGTGAGTCTACTTTTTAAAGGGCAATTTGGTAAATATTTCAAAGTCTTCATTTATTTCTTAAACTCTGTGCCCGGTCAAATGTTGTCACATAAAATGGGACGGAGGGAGTATATATTAATCTCAATATCTTACTAGTTATTATCTTTATCCTTTTGCCTTTAATTCAAATCTCCCAACGACTTTGAGTTCACAATTTCATATTATACAAAACATTAAAATCTAAAGTAAGAACTCTATTCTTCTTAATTTCTCTTTGTGTTTCACTTGTATAGTTCTTTTCATGTTTGTTATTATTGTTTTTATTTCCATTTGTAAAGTTACATTATTGTGTTTTTGCATCAAATTTATTAGAAAAGTCATATATTTATTTTATAAGTATTTTCTTATTGGTTAAACCGAAAACTGAACCGTTAAGGACCAAAACTGATAAATTGAAAACCGATAAAAAATATCTTATTGGTTTGGTTATTGGTTTAACATATTTAAAAATCGAAAACCGATAAACCGAACCAATAATACATAAAACCGAACCGAACCGAACTGACCAATGCACACTCCTAGATTTTATTATTTAATCCTATTACATGTAATTAATATTTTTAATTATTTTAAAATCCTATTTTTTGTGGTGCTGACATGTGTCGTTCTAATTCTAATTATTTACATTTGTCTATATTTATTTATTTAATTATTATTATTGATTATTAAGTATTTAAAATTATTTAAAATACTGAAAATTTATGGTGTTGACATGTGTCATTTTTTCTTCTCCTTTTATATATATATATATATATATAGAGAGAGATATTTTTAGATTTTATAATTATTTTAAATTTGAAATTATTCCTTTAAATTATCCACTAATTGAATTGTTCCTTAAAATTATCCATTGACTAACATAGAACAGTTCTTTTTAATTATTTTTTTAAAATTAATAATCACACTCATGTTTTGCAATGTTTATTTTTTTGTTTTTCAGTTTTAGATAGTTAAAATTTTTAGTTATTATCGTATATAAATTTTGAAAATTATAAAATGATTATATCACGTTGATTTTAAGTAATTCTTTAAGATAATTACAAATAGTTGATTTTATTATTTAATCCTATTACATGTAAGTAATAATTTTAATTATTTAAAAATCTTATTTTTGTGGTGCTGACATGTGTCGTTCTAATTCTAATTATTTATATGTGTTTATATTTATTTATTTAATTATTATTATTGATTATTAAGTATTTAAAATTATTTAAAATAATTTAAAATACTGAAAATTTGTGGTGTTGACATGTGTCATTTTTTCTTCTCCTTTTATATATATATATATATATATATATAGAGAGAGAGAGAGAGAGAGATTTTTAACTTCAATTTTTTCAACCCACCCTTACGCTTAACCCTACCCCTACCCCCTAACACCCCTCCCAAAAAAAAAAATTAAAATGTTTTTTTAAAAGATATTTCCAATTTCAATTTTTTATTTTTTTACCCCTCCACCACCCACCCATCGCCTCCCTCCCTCCCCATCTTCCCCCCTACCCAGCCCCCCACCCCCTGGAAAAAAAATTAAGTTTGTTTTTAAAAAATATTTTCAACTTCAAAATTTTAATTTTTCACCCCTACCCTCGAACCCCCTCTACCAGTCCTCCTACCAGCCACCCCCACCCAAAAAAAAATTAAGTTTATTTTTTTAAAAATATTTTCAATTTCAAAATTTTATTTTTTCACCCCCTACCATCCTCACCCCCACCCCCCCCCTCCAAAAAAAAATTTAAGTTTGTTTTAAAAATATACTTTCTACTTCAAAATTTAATTTTTTTCACCCCTACCCTCGACCCCCCTAGCCTCCCTACCACCCCCTCCCCAGAAAAATTACGTTGATTTTAAAAGATATTTTCAACTTCAAAAATTTAGTTTTTCACCCCTACCCTGGACACACCCCCACCCACCCCTACCCCCCCCCTCCCCCAAAAATTAAGTTTCTTTTGAAAAGTATTTTCAACTTCAAATTTTTATTTTTCACCCCTACCCTTCCCCCTAGACTCCTACCAAATATTTTCAATTTCAAAAATTATTTCAACTCTATTAAAAATAAAAGATATTTTCTCATAAACATTTTTCATTCATAAATCAAACACTAAAAAATCTTTTCCAGAAAAATAGTTTCTACTCACCAACCAAACATGAGAAAATAAGTCAAAATCCACTTGTTTTCCAAGAAAATTTTTTCTAGGAAAATATTTTCCTTCATACCAAACGCACCCTATAAGTGAGATAGTTTTCTCTCGAACAACTATCACGATTCAAGTGATTTCTTTCGAACATCAACAAGCTTACCAAATAAGAACAACCCACACTTTAATTCATCTACTCTCTCGAGCTAAATAGGTAGAATCGAGATTAGGATTTACTCTTACGAGCTAAATCCATATCAACCCAATAACTACAATCATCAATTGAAGCTTTGATTCTAAAACCTCTTTTTCAAGGAAGCCAAGAATTCTAAGTTCGAATTGCATTTGCAACTACAATTCTTAGTTTTAAAACAACTATCAATTAAACCCACTTCAATTAAGCATTTAAATCAGTAATTAACAATACCCATAAGCTAATTCAGCCCATAATCACATGATCACACCCCAAGAATTGGGGTTTTAGCTACACATCATAAAAATAGAGAAATGATTACCAAATACATTAGTCATGATCTGGGTAAAGGTTCCCAAGTCTTTACAATGGTCCAAATTGAAGAAATTCAGAAACCCACTTGCACATCCTCAAAATTTAGCTTGAAAATCCTCAAAGTCTATGATGTTTGCGTAATCAAGAGACAACTTCCAATTTAAGTGTCTACGATCGTACAATAGTAAAGTAACCCAACCAAAGGTTGGGGTTGAGTCCCAGGGAGTGGTTTTGAGAATTAATAGAAAAATAAAATTAAGTTCTAATTAGTCATAGATAAAAACATTATCGAATATATATATATATATATTTATTATTTTTTTTTGGTAAATAAATGATATTATTACCAAGTAGGAATTACATAACAGAAAAGCAAGCTGGACATCACCTAGACTTGCATCAAATAACTAGCTTTCAATCTTAACTATCAAGTCTTTCACTATGGTTAGCAACATCATCAATCCAACAACTTTACACTAAACAGGATATGCATTCAGGGATTGGAGCACCTGATCAAGTCTTGCCCATTTTCTTCCTCGTAGATGCACCTCTTGAACAATCTTCCTCACCAACATTCCAGGAGTTCTGATTATTTGCTTGAAGATACATTGATTCCTCTCCTGCCACACAACATAAACACTTGCAGCCACTGCCATCCTATACACCTTAGCTCTTGCTTGTTTTTCTTTGCAGTGAGTATTTGCCCACAACACTTCCTCATCCCATCTTCGAGCCTCTCTCTGAATATTTAACCAGTGCAAAATCTTTTGCCACACCTGAGCTGTGAACATACATTGTAAGAACAAGTGATTATGGGTTTCATTATCAGCTTCACTCAACACACACTGCTCCTCTTCTACACACCCCCCATGCAGCCAGTCTATCCCTTGTGAGTAGCCTTTTTTCCAGTGCTAAGTACAGTATAAAATTCCACTTTGGGCATGCAACATTATTGCAGATTAGTCTTCTCCATTCAACCTTCTGATACTCTCCCATCAGAGCTTTGTACAATTTTTTGATAGAGAACCTGTCCATCTGCTTGATATACATCTCATTCCATCCAATAGTTTCAAGTTCTTGATGCATTTGTAATATTTTCCTCACCATCCAAGAAGCTTGAGGTGCTTCTACACCCCATAAGGTCCCTTGTTTCCCATAGTATTGATGTACCCATTTCACCCATAATCTATATTTCTTAACACACAAATTCCACAACAATTTGCTTATTGCAGCCTTATTCCATGTTTGTGCATCCAATATATTGAGTCCTCTTGTTGTCCTAGGCCTGCACACCTGTTCCCATGCAATTAATGCCTTCTTAGAAGTATCCATACCTCATGTCCATAGGAAAGTTCTGCATATTGTTTCTATACATTTAATCACTTTCTTTCAGATTATGAACACGTGGGACCAGAACACTTGGATGGAAAACAGCACACTCTTAATCAGCTGAGCCCTTCCTGCATAAGATAGAAACCTGGAAGTCCAACTTTGAACTCTATGCATTATCTTATCAATTAGTGGTTGATATTATAGGATAGATACTTTCTTAGTACTCAGGGAACACCTAAGTACTTAAAAGGTAGTAACCCCTGTGAGAAGCTCAACTTTTGTAGGATTTCTACTTGTGTATCCCTTGGCACTCCTCCAAAATAAATGGAGCTCTTGTCAGCATTTGCTACAAGCCCTGAAGCAAGAGAAACCTCATGGAAAACACCATACAACAGCTTAATTGAACCAATGTCACCTCTACTAAACATGTTAAATCTAAGGGGTGACGCAAGCGTCACTTATCAATGGGGGTTTGTCACAAGTAAACGAAAACAACAAAAATGCAAAGAGTACTAATCAAGGAGATGAGATTCTTGGGATGTGATAGGAATACGGGATAAACTAAACTATTGGGTACATGCTTTTGATAATAAATCCGTTGAATATTTGTGACTAGGCTAGACTATAGTGGGGGTAAATTCTCTCACCAGCAGCTTACCCCGTATCAACTCGGTTTCTCTCGAACACCGAGTTGCCACATGAAGAACAACCTCCGCCTTAGCCCACTCACTCACTCGAGCTGAGTGTGTGGGAGAAGGACTAGGGTTCACTCTCTCGAGCTGAACCTCATGTCGACCCAATCCCACCGGCCATCAATTTAGTAGTCTTAGTTTTACAACCCCTCTGTCTTGCAAGTCAAAAACACAAAGGTGAAATCATATTTGCAACTACAATTTTATTAATTTCCACCACAACAACTAAACGAAATCACATCTAAACAACAAATAAATCATCAACAAGCAAAACCCCATAGATAATCTAACCCATATTCACCAAACCACACCCCAAGAATTGGGGGTTTAGCTAGACATGTAAAAGAGATAAAAAGTAATACCAATCTCAGTTTCCATCAATGGGTATGCAACATTAAGTCTTTAAACAAGTCAAGAGTGAGGAGTCCTTAAGACCCAAGTCCAAAATCTTGGAGTTGAAACCCTTTGAATCTTCAAGTTCTTCAAAACCCTCTCCAAACTTAGAACTCAAAATTTTATGTTAAAAATTCTATATTAAAAATCTGATATTAACCTACAACTCTCAACGAGTATTTATAGTTTTCAAAAATCTGTGCTGCAGAGAATCATTCGGCGCCATTAGTCGAGATCGCCGATAACTCAGCAATTCGCCCTTTGGTAGGTTTCATCGCCGTCTTGCTCTATCCTTCAGCATAGTCGTGTTTTGGATAATTGGGCAACATAGTACTGCTTCACAGAATTGCTCGGCGACATGCCGACTGCTCCTTTTCACCGCCGATTTGATCCTTTCTTTCAGGGCTCAGCACACTAGAACAAAAGGCGAGGATAAGACCTTTTGGCGACTCGCCAAATAGGTTCGGCGATTCTCAGATCTTCATTTCTTCGTTCTTTCAGCTGCCTTTGTTCCTTTTTGCTAAGTAGTGTCCATGTTTTCCCTCCAACTCCAAATACCTGAAACTTAAGGGTTTTCATTAGATATTGAGACAAAATATGCATTTGAGGACACTAATTCTATCAAAATATAGCCCTAAATGAGTCCAATTTGTGGACTCATCAACACCCCCAACTTAAACTTTTGCTTGCCCTCAAGCAAACTCGAGTTCGATCGATCAAAAAGGGTGTCTCAAACAGTGCTATACAAGAATCAATCATAAATGTACACAACAAGACTTAACTTACTCATGCAAGGATCAAAAGTGCACTTAAAGTTTCAAGTTGTGACATACCATTATCAAAGAATCTCGAACTCACAATACTTGCTTCAAATACAAGTTCAAGCTCAACTATAGTGTTCAAATTCCCTCTAACAAAGAATGATTCCATATTCACACAATGGTTCATAGTTTAAAGCTTAAGAATCAGATGCAACACTCACTCTCACAAAGAAGAACATAATGCATAATTTCACCCATAGGTTTGCCCGTATTTTCCAATCAAGATTTATTTTAGCTCACTCAAGATCAAAAAGGTCTTTTAAAATCTTGTATTGGGGTTGAGTGTATGGTAATTTAGGCTCAGTGACTTTCATCCTCATGAAATGTGGTACTCACAACACTTCCTTTCCTCTTCCTTCATCATTTTCTTTAGAGCTCATAAGTCATCCTATTATTCACTTCCCATGGATTGTTTGGGAACCCCATTTCTTTTGTACTTTATTCCACAACTTTCTTTTTTTCATTATTTTCTTCTATTTTTCTCTTATATATATATATAATATATATGGAGGGGTTCCATTTTTCTCAACACCATGGGTTAAAAGATACTTTCCTTGCACTTCTTGACTTCCCCTTTTCTTTTCACTACACCCCCAACTTAGTCTTTTGGCCTAAGTTGGCTATTCAATCAACCACAAATCAAGAGGATTATAGGTAGTGGATTAAGAGAGGTCTAGTTTTCATCAAGTTTGGCTCAAGGGGTGTTCAAAAGTGGTTCACACACTCACAAGGTAGGCCACAAAAGAGGTATATATCAAATTGGATCACACTCTTAGAAGTTGCCTAAGATCATATCAAGAAATAATATCACTTAGTTGACCGGATCAATGGGGAAAATTCTAGGATCCACTATGCATAGTTCATAGGTAAGCTCATAACACTAGGCATGGACACTATAAGTCAAACAAGACTCCACACTTTCGCTAGTGTGGAACGATCATCACAAGAGACTATATTCGATCATTGGCTAGTCACAACGAGATGCAAAGAGTTCACATATTGTCTATGCAACTTCATTTGGCCTCATTGTAGCCGCACATTCATGTTTGTTCAATTATAAGCACTATCCAAGTCATCGGTATTGATAGGAACCGATACTCAAATTTGTAAAGGAACAACCACATACAACACAGAAAGGGTGGCAAATTTTTTTTTGGAAGGGTCAAAATCATTTTGCAATTTAAAACACGGAGCCAAAAGCTCAAACCTCTACAAAACAATGTATAAAACATAATTTTTAAACAGAACAACCCAAATATTCAAACAAAACATGATTCACAAATAGCACACAAAGGTGGGCCTCACCCCACCACAAACAAAAACATTTGTTCTCAAATGCAAATAACACAGAATCTGAAAAGTAAAATAAAAAAAGAAAGAGAGGGAGGTAGATAGGGGATCCTGTCTAAGTAGTTGCTCCATCTATCTGGGCATCAATACCCGGAGTGTTGTCATTCTGACTCTGGTTTCATTGTCTGCGTTTGCCTCAGTTGCTGCATCGATATTAGCCTTAGCCATATTGTCCAAATCGTGAGCTACTCCAAAGGCATATATCGCGTTAATGAACCCTCGAGCCCACGAAGGGACATTAGGGTCAATGAGAATCCTCCTACTGGAACTGGTTTTCTTGTTCTCGCTCCCTTTTTTGGGGTGATCTGTCGTCCCTGCATCTCTTCTGGAGTTTTGTGCCTTTATATGTCGAGGTGGCATATTTCTTCCTACAGCTTTTGGTCTGGCCATGTCTGCAAAGCCTTGAGATAAAGTTAGAAAATATTCGATAAGCAAATCGAAGACCATCAGCTGCAGGCAGACATAACAGTCCATTCGACGAGTCGCTGAACACTTTCGGTGAACAAAGGGATGTCCGCCGAAAGTTACAATGCATAAGGGGTCAGGGGTGCAGACAAAGGGCGAATAAGAAGACTTTTGGTGAGTCACCGAGTGCTTTTGGCGACCCCATGCTTCTCACCGAAAGGTACAGAAGCCACAAAACATAAAGCATGATATCAAAGGTGAGGTAGGGCAACTAGGCGAACCGCTGAGTGGTTTGGCGAGCTCGTCTCAGCTCGCCGAAACGACTAGTCGTGCCTATTATCAACCCAACTTTTTGAAATCAGCCCCGCAACCCCTGGAAATGCAATATAAGCTCCTACAACACAAATTCGACTGAGACCCGTAACATAAAAGCACTCCCTATTGCAAATTAATTTAACTTAACGCACTAGAAGGCGGGATTTTGACCATTCAAGCAAGAGTTATCAATTATGAATAGGCAATTAAGCAATATGATCCAATCAGAGAGGCCCAATAGAATTCAACAAGATTAACAGATTGCAAATGAGTATAATTTCGACAAAATGAACGCGGGGTTTGAAGTACCAATCTTTTATGCCGATCAAATGGATGTTGAGATGCTAGAAAGCAATGTAATCCAATTTCGAGCACAAATCAACCAACCAAAATACTCTAAAAGTGCAAGAAATATAGAAACTAGAGTGTAGGTATGAGTTTGGGCAAATAAGAAGTGAGGGAAAGTGAATGAAGTTCAAACTTTTAAACCTTTGGCTTGCAAAATTATCTAGCTTTCGCCCACTCGACGACATTAGTCAAGCTCGCCTAATCACTTGGCAGAATGCTGAATGTTTTAGTTCCTTGTCGAAATTTATAGGACCTCCAGTTAATCTTGTGTGGGGTCAAACGGGGGGTCAAATCGGGAATGCCAACCATTTTAGAGATTCGTCGACTAATTATGTTACTCGCCAATATGCATTTTCCAAACACTTTCAGCATTTAAACCTGCACCACTAACACACCATTATTTATAAAAGCAAACAAAAGCATTTAAAACCTTGGGTTGCCTCCCAAGAAGTGCCTTAGTTAACTTCGTGGCACGACGCGAGTCCTTACTCACTCTCCATTGGTGGGGTTGGTTCTAGTGTTACTAGGTAACCCCAATAGTTCATTTGAGTGAAAAGGAGGCACTGCATAACTCATGAGTGTCTTGATTAGCTAGATCGATCTAGAATGGGAGCCAATCATTTGATTCAACACTTCAATATTCTCTTTCATCTCTTCCAACATTCGATCTTGTTCG